TCTGACTCCAGCCTCTTAAGTTTCGTTTCCTGTTGCTGTGATAAAATACCATGACAGAAGCAATTTAAGGGAGACAGTTATTCACATTACATCCGCCATCAAGAGCAGGAAGTGATGAATTATTGCATGTATGTGACTGCTTAGCTCCCTTCCTACACTCTTAGATAGTTCAGGATCCCTTGCTTAGGGAATGGAGTCACAGTGTATGGGTCTTCCCACTTCAATGAACAAAATCAAGACACTCCTCTGTGGACATGACCATAGAGCAACCTAATCTAGACATTCTCTCACTGAGACTGTCTTAGACCTTGTCATGCTGACAATTAACAGGAACCACCACACCCAGCCACCCGGAGAGATGGCTCAGATGTTAAGAGAGCCCGATACCCTTTCAGAGGACCTTGGTTTCATTCTCCCAGTTACTCTTTCAGAAGGCTCTGGTTTGATTCTCAGCATCCACATGGTGGCTCATAACCATTTGAAACTTCACTTCCAAGGGATCTGATGTCATCTTCTGGCCTCCAAGGGTACCAGGCACACACACGGTACACACATACAGGCAGGAAAAACACATATGCACATACAATAAATTAAATACATCTAAAAAAGATAATAGGTCTTCATTTTTAGATCCATCTATTCTATTTCTTTAGGTGAATTGATTACCTCTCTGACGCTCACTTGCTTCATTTATAAATAGGGATAATAGTGGTTGCTTCATAAGATGGTCACAAGGCTTAGCATCTCCTTTAATGAGTCAAAGGTTCAGTAAAAGCTGGTATAATCACTTGATTATTGATCTGTAATGTAGACATTGTCCTGAAGATCCCTGCATGGACATGCCACATCTGGCTATATCTAGACTGGGAAGACAGCTTGGAGCTGGCCCTGTCTGTGGGTGACTAACTAGATTACGACTCCCAGTAACTTGTCCTTGCCTACATTGGGATTAAACACTGTTCTTTGTCATGTGACTTTGCTCATCATCCTGTGTGGGCAGCATTCCTCTCTGGACCCATTTGGGTCTAACTTTATGACATGCTTTAAGTAAAGGCCTGGCAGCAGATATGGCATGAAATGTTAATGTTACCACATGGTTTGGCTCAGGCTCTCCTACTTCTGCCCATAAGAAACAAACATCCCCAGTGCTGGTACACAGTAGGAGCTAAATAGCCATTGTATGTTTATTATGTATCAGACATTGTCTCATAGGTAATATATGTCTACATGTGTGTAATGGTTCTTAATTGTCAGCTTGGCAGAATCGAGAGTTACCCAGGAAATGGCCCTCTGGGCGTCCTTGTGGGGAATCACCATCTTTTATTTACATGTGCCATGACCTACACACCTTAGTGGCTAACTGACTGGGTCCCTGGGGAATGGAAAAATGACAGACACACACAGAAAAGCTGGGATTGGGTAGACTGTGCACTCTGATGGAGATGGACCAACAACCGCCTGGGAGTTACTCTAGGCAGCATGAGTTACTCTACTCATTTGAGGAGGAGGCTGGTTAGCTCATCTCTGTGGGTTCCGGGAAACCTCTGTAGGGGAGCAGCCTCAGGCTGTGGTCAAGCTGGAGGAGGAAGGTATGGTCAACCTGGCTGCAGTCGATACTTTGTACACACGCTGGCTTTAGCTAAAGGTCAAAAGTTACTCAACACCCTTAGTTGTACCGGGGAAAAAGCTTTGCCATTCCCGTGTATCTGACGCCCGCGTGTCCTTGATATGGCTGTACTATTGTGACACTAATACACATTTGCTCAGGGTTTCGTCTGCTCCCCATGTGGAGCCTTGGTTCTCTGGAAGGGCAGCCAATGCTCTTAACCACTGAACCATCTCTCTTGCCCCTGTCAGAATATTCTTTAAACATCTGTGTATCTATCTGTGTGTGTGTGTCTGTGTGTGCATGTGTTTTCAATGGGTGTGGAGATGAGAGGACAACTTTTAGGAGACAATTCTCTTCTTCCAACTTGTGGGTGCTGGGGATTGAATTCAGGTCCTAAGGTGTGTTGGCAAGGTTTTAACCAGCTGATCCATCTCTCTCATCCTTGAATATTTTTATCACAGCAACAAGCAAAGAAACTGAGGCAGTGTGTTAATTCATTTTATCTTCCACAAAACCCTGAAGTTTGGGTCCTGATTATGTCATGTGATATGTCGCACGATTGGATTGCAGGTCGCTGAGGATGCTAATACTGCTAACATTCACGCTCCAGGAAGGGGCAATTTACCTCTTCTGCCCATCTTCTTAAGTGCTGTCCTATGTTGCTTCTTCTAGTAGGTGATGGACAAATGTTGGTTAAATAAACACTCGTTTAAATGCTGGTCAACACTACACCATCATTCCCTCCCACTGCACAAGTGCAGAAAGTCACAGCATTTTGGGGCAAAAACTGTCTCCTGACTTTGTTTTAATTTTATTTGTTTTATTTTGTCTTTTGAATTTGAGCTTGGTCATTCCTCCCACCTCATTCTTCTAATCAGTCAGAGTCTCAGTTTCATGATAGGGGAAGGTTATTTATGACTAGCATAGTTATTACAGGAGAACACCAACATCTTCCTTGTAGGGCCCACATGAACCACAAGTTACCTCTTGCAAATTCCATGTGGTCCACATAAAAATCCTGAGGGGGCAGTGTTTTGTCATCTCTACACGTCTGCTTTTGTCCAAGTGGTCTCTCTCAGGCTCCACAAGTTCATAGGTTTTCCCAACAGCTTTGTAAAACAGCATAAACTCGCTTTATTTAAGGGGTAGACAGCAGTGACATAATTTAAAACATACTGATAAATTGTTGTGTGTTATTAACTGTCGTGTGTTATTATTGAGAAATTGGAAGCAGGGTGGATCTCTCCCTAGCATTTTTAACCCAAGCATTTTCATATGAAGTGTCCACCAAAGCCCCTTGTCTGGGGGCAGGCTGGCTCTCTGCTTTTGTGACAGGTGGAGAGAAGAGCAAAATAACCCAAGAGTCAAAACACTGTGTTCTTGAGAATAGCTGGAAGGTACACCTTTCCCAATTACGTTACTACTGTTTATCCCATGGTATAAATTTGCCTACAACATGAATGGGAGTCAGAAGCTCTTTGATGAAGACACCGTCAGTGGGGGAAGCTACAGCATGGCCACTCCCCTCTCCCTCAGGTCTCTGCTTGATGTCAGCACATGATCTGATGGTGTTTACTTTCTATCTGCTACTTGCTGTTTGTTTGTTTTGTTTTTTACTTTTGCTTGCTACCTGCTTAATATACTCACTCATTTGAAACTGGAAGTACAGGGGCTGGGGAGATGGCTGGGTGGTTAAGAGCACTGGCTGCTCTTCTAGAGGAACAGGGTTCAATTCCCAGCATGCTAGCGGCAGATCCCAGCCATCTCAGTCCCAGGGGAATCCCACGTCCTCTTCTGACCTCTACAGGCTCTGCATGCCCATGGTGCACAGACATACATGTAAGGCAAAACACCCATAAACATAAAAAATAATAATGAAAACTTAAAAAGAATCTGAAAGAGCGCTCGCAGAACATTCTCTGGACTAGACGGAACAAGTGATCTTGTGGGTGGACCGAGGACAGAACTGGAAGAGAACCCAGCTGTCCTGTTTGTAGCCCAGGACTTTTCTTTCTGGTTGGCCTGGCTGCTTCCTGCTCAGCCCTCTGGTCTCTTCTGCACTTGTTCTTGTCTGCTTCGCTTCACCCCGTCCCCTCTCCACGCCAGCTGTGGGAGTGAGGCCTCAGTTCTGGCTGGCTAGAGCCAGACAATGAGCCCTTATTCTGAGCAAAGAATCCCTACAGTGTATCCCGCCCACTGAAGCCCTCTTCCAGGCCCAGGGTGGTGTGGGTGAGGGGCAGAAGCAATTGGTTGGCAGGACAGGGAATGGCCTTGGCTATGGAGAACCCACAGGGGTTTACGATGTAAACACCACTCACAATGACAGCCTGTCTCCCTACTGCCAGCTCCATGTCTCCAAGCTGCCTCAGAGCCACACACATTCTGTGCTTGTAAGCACTTACCTTGGTCTTTTCTTATTGCTGCTAACATCTGTATATTATTATCTCTTTCCTCTTTCCCCCTGTCTATTTTTAGAGCCATTCTCTGCCTTCCTATTCCTTTTTTTTTTTTTGAGACCGTAGCTCATTGTGTATCCCTGGTAGCCTGGAACTTGCTGTGTAGATAAAACTGGTTTTGAACTTGCATTGATCCCATTTCCCGTGTCTCCCAAAGGCCAGGATAATAGGTGTGAATCACAACACATTTGCTTTCTTTCTATTTCTCTCTCCCTCCATCACCCACACCCGCCTAAGGTCTCAACTATGTAGTGCCAACTGTCCTGGAACTCACTGGGTAGAGACTGGCCTGTCTCTGGCTCTTAAGTGCTGGGATTAAGGGCATGTACCACCATGCCTGGCTCTATCTCTATTTCTTATTTCATTTCATCAAGCTGTCTATTTCTTTAAAAAAAAAAAAAGATTTATTTTTATTTTATGTGTATGAATGTTTTGCCTGAATCCATGTGTGTGCACCACACACATGCCTGTTGGATCCCCCCCTGAAACTGGGGTTATGGAGCCCCTATAGGTGCTGGGAATCGAACCCCAATCCTTTTGCAAGAACACAGGTACTCTTAACTATTGAGCTGTTTCTCTAGCGCCTCATCAAGCTTTCTCTTACTCTTTCCTGGTACATCCCAGGGGTCCCTGAGATTGGTATTGGGGTTATTCTTCCCACTTTACAGATTTGGAAGCTGAGGCACTGGTTGCTAGCACTAGGCTCCCATCTGCCTTTTATGCACCCACTGTGCTCTTGTCCCCGAGTTGCCCACCTACACCACCTGATCGAGGATCTAGCACCTCGGACAGCTCCCGCAAGGTGCGGGGGTGACGGCGCCTTCTCGCGACGCTAGTGGAGCGACCCTATGAGCCGAGTGGGAGTCTCGCGAGAGTGGTTGCAGCAGGCACGGCGGCGCGCGCGCGCGCCTCGGGCGCGCTCACACAATCCCCGCCCCCAATCCGGAAGCCGCTCGCGGCCGGCTCCGCGCCTGATCGCTGGGTGCAGCGCAGCTCAGCGCGGTGCAACGCGACTGCTTTTCTGCAGCTGAGCAGTTGGTGCTGGTGAGTCCTGGGCCTGGAGACGCGTGGAGGGCTCTGCAGGGAGCTGGGCTGGAGAGGCGTCAGAGGCCCCAGTTTTCTGCATTCAAAGCATCCGTTTTCATTTGAGGGGGCAGGCCGAGCTGCTGGTGAGGTGGGGAGTCGAGGTGACCTTTCCTGTTTGGGGCGTTGAAGAGCTCCCTGGGCACCCCAAAATCCTCCTCCCCAACCCCTATTTCCTCATTCCCTGTCCCCGCAGAGGGAGCCCGGGATTTGGGTGACGTCAGACCCTTGGATGCTGGAACCTGAGCTTTGGGCCCTCCACCCCACAAACCCCCAATTCAACCTTGCATTCCCTGGAAACCGGCCTCTTTCTTTTGGGGTGATGGATATGGCCGGGGATGGGGATTGGAGTCAGGTGACAGTGGTTTCACAAAAGGCGCCTGCAGGTGGATCCAGGTTGTACTAACCCCTGGGAAACCGGCCTTTGTACCACGGGTCTGAGCAGCCTGATTTTCGGAGGAGGGGGATGGGTGCACTGACTAGGGCCGGGATAACCACCCGGGCTTTCGGTAGTGGGATGGGGTGCTGGATCTAGCGCATCCAACGTTGGCACCAGTTGGTCACGAGGAAGGAGGGGAGATGTCTAGGGACCAATCCCTGTCCTTGCCCTAGGGTTCTCCTGATCTGGAGTCTGGGGGAGTCGAGTGAGAGTAGGACTGAGAATTGACTGTCAGAGCCCGCAAACCTGCGACGTCCCGGTTGGGATCAGCAGATCAGCAAAGGCCGGGGCTGTAGACAGAGCTGTCAGGAGACTTTCTGGAGGTGGGATTTGGAAGGAGGCAGAGGCAAGAGAGGGCATCTCAGGTGGTGGGACAGGCAAAGTTCAGAGGTAGGCATGAAGCGCACGCCGCCCCACCCCAGCCTGTCCGTGGTATGTGTGTGGGAGGGATGCTCTACAGAAATTTGCAACCGGTGCTTTACCCATTCTGTCTTCACCGTCAGGACTGTGAAAGAGGGAGATGATTCTGGTAGGGGCACGGCTGGCAGAGAGATTTTGTTTGGGGTTGCTAGTTTAGGTTCTGTAGGAGCTTATGAAGACGGGGGCCCATTCTCCATTGCTGAGGCCCATGTATGAACGGGCCACAGAAGATGGAGAGGGGTTAGGAGCCCGGGCCTTGTGACTGTTTTTTTTTTTTCCTCTTTCCTTTATGTTTTTCTAAATTGTATTTATTTCATTCTTTTTTTTTTCTTCTTCCGAGTCAGGGTTTCTCTGTGTAGTGTTGGTTGTCCTAGACTTGCTTTGTAGACCAGGCTAGCCTCGAACTCACATTGATCTGACTCCTCTCTCTGCCTTCCTGAGTGATGGGATTAAAGGCGTTCGCCACCATGCCTGGCTGGGTATTTATTTTAGAAGTATGGGTCTTTTGCCTGTATGTGCACAATTGTGGCCAGTGTCCTCAGACAACAGCGTTGGATCCTCTGGGACTGGAGTTGCAAATGGTTGTGAGCTGTCCATATGGGTACTGGGAGTCAACTTTGGTCCTCTGGAAGAGCAGCTAGTGCTCTTAAACACAGAGCTCTCTCTCCAGCCCCAGTGTGGCTGTTCTTTAGCTCCTTCTCTGGCTGGTCACTGCTGAGCAAGTTGATAACCCTCTCTGGGTATCTCTTTGTTAACACTTTCTCTAGGGACAAAATAATTGGAGTAAGCAGTGACCTCACTGAGGAAGTGTTTTCTAGTTTAAAAGAGCCCTGAGTTCTTCCTTTTCCCTCTTTCTCTCTCTGCCTGTCTGGTCTCCTCCCCACCAGATTTCCTCTCCATGATACGCTTCCTGCCTTGCTTCGGTCTGGGGTCTGAAAGTTTCCTGAAGGAAGTGTGATGCAGCTGGGTTAACAGAAGTGCTGGCCTTTGCCTGTTGAGGAGAAGGCATTAGCCTTCCTGCTCTCATACCTCGGGAGGATATCCAAGTCATAAGTACCATCATAGACCTGATTTTCCCTTCTGCAGGACCTGTCCCTCCTAACTTCATACTAAGGAGCAGAACAAATTAGTATTTGTGTTCAATCTTCAGATTGTATGGAGCCCAGTAGGATGGCACATGCCGGTAATCCCAACAGTTGGGACGCTGAGGCAGGAGGATTGCTGGGAATTGAAGATCAGCCTGGGCTACTGAGCAAGACTCTATATCAAAACAAAACTGTCCTCTACCTGCAAGGGATGGATGAGGAGAATGGATGAGTGAGCAGCACCAGTGGCTGCTTTAGAATGTATGCAATGGGATGCAGAGCAGGGGTGTCTAGGGAGGGTTCACAGAAGCGCTGTGGGAAGTGACAGGGTTTAGAGAAGGTGGTAGGCTGCTGGGTTGGGGTCACTGGGGTGGCTAGACATGATATTCTGCATAAAGTCCGAATAGACACTAGTCTGTGGTAGAGAAACAGGGTGGTGGGGAGGGGGACTTGGAGCTGATTGGCATGAAGCTTTGAATACCAGGTGCAGGCTCTGTGGGAGGGTACCGTAGTGTCATCAGCAGCATGATGTTCACACCGCCAGGAGAGCCCTGTATTCTGGGGGCGATTCACAGTTTTCGGCTTCAGGACTACAGATGGGGTTGAAATAAGGATAAGGGAGGGGGTCAGAGGTAGAGTACAAATTAGGAACTTCTGCCTTAGCTAGTAGGCTGTGGGCAAACAGAAGAATGACCATTTTTGTGCCAGAGATGAGGGGCTCTTGCTGGCAAGCTGAGAGCACTTGGAGCTAAGTGGTCTCTGACTCCTGGCTGGACCTGAAACCAGGCTTGACTTCCTTCTGGTCTACTATGGACCAGTCACACAAAAGAATTGAATAAATTACAGTTTGGGTTTCTTAAACAACGTTCAGGTGCTATTGGATCAGCTGTGTTGGTTTGTGCCTGTAATTTCAGCAGCTGGGAGGCTGAAGTAGGATTGCTGGAATTTCAAGGCCAATTTGGCCTAAATAGTGAGTTTCAGGCCACCCAAGAGTACCTAGCAAGAGCCTGAGTCAAAACAAAATAAAAGCAAACCAAAACAAAATTTCAGGTATGTATGGAACCCCACCCCACCCCCTGCCAATTACAGAAGATTCTCATCTAAAGAACAAATTGCTCGTTCTCCATCTAAGAAGTTCAACTGTAAAAGCCATCGATTTCTTTCATCCCGGTACCACACCCTCCCCCTAAGAAAAAGGTAGCCTTATCCTAAGGACAAAGGACCCTGCAGACTTATATTTCTGTGGTCCTCCTCCTGCAGCGCTCCTGAGCCCTTGCCTTCAGCAACAAACCACAATTCTGCCCTGGATCATTCGTATGTGACTTTTTGACTCCTCTCACTGTGGGGACAGAGAAATAACTTGGGGTCTGTGATAAGGGTTGGGCCGGAGTCAGAATTATGGGAGCATCCCACTTGAGGCTCTTACAAGTTTTCTTTAGTTTGTAGCTCCTTTCCCCTATTTGTCTTCCTCAGTTTTCTGGAGGACTGACTGTATTGCAGAAGCAAGCTCTCATTCCATATCTCGTTCTCTTTGGGGAAGGCAGTACCTCCTTCAGCCCCCACGTGTCTTGTTGTTGGCATATGGTCACTTACGAGGTTTGAATTCTTTGCCTTCAGGGAATTACCTGCTTTGGGTTTCAGGGCTGGAGATTGGGACGTGAGGTCTTCTGACGTCTCTGTTTTTTCTATTGCATGGCCGGTGCCCCTTCTCTGTCCTTGGGTTCCATGCCCTCAATCACTGGGCCATTTTGCCTACGTGCCCTTCCTAGAAGTAGATCCCAGTTCTAGATGCTACACTCAGAATATAGAAAAACCCCGGAGACTGTCAGACCAGGACAGTCTGATTCTGCTTGCAGCAGGATGTCCTATCTTAGTCTTCACCATATGCCATCCAAAAAGCCTAGAAACTCTTCCCTCATTCTTATGTGCTCTCTAATCTGTTCCAAAGGAGGAATATTCCAACCTATATTGTATTCCTAAAGTCTTTCACTCAGGTAGAGCGTCATCAGGGTGTGCTGTGGGAGATGGGGTCGTACTCATGTTCCTGTCCACTTGTTCTTTCTAAAAGGAAGAGCTTTACATTTTAATTTTATGTATATGGGTGTTTGCATATGTGTCTGTGTTCCATGAGCCTGCATGGTGCCTTTGGAGGCCGGAAGAGGGTGTTTAATCCCTTAAACTGGAGTTAGAAATGGTTGTGAGTTGCCATGTGGGTGCTGGTCCTCTGAAGAGATTGAACTTGGTCCTCTGGAAGAACTGCCAGTACTCTTAACACCTGTATTGTTCTCCAGCCTTTTCCTTTTTTTTTTTTACTTTTGAGACAGGGTCTCATGGAACCCAGGCTGCTCTCTAACCCATGTTGGTCTTCCTGCCTCAGCTTCTCAAATGCTGGGATTATAGAAATGTGCTGCCACACTGGGCATTTGTCATGCGTCTCTTGAATTCTAGTAAGAAGGGTCCTTGTGAAAAGCTCTACTCTGAACTATGGAGCTGACCTTTTGTGTCTCCTGAGGCACCACTGTCCATCAGTTATTTCCCTCTACTGTGTCTTGAGCCTCTGAACTGCTTTCTTTAGTATCTCCCTCCTGGTTTGTAAATAGAGATAAGTTTCCCGACCTGGAGAAAGCTTTCTATCCCAGTGTCAGCACTCTTGTAGTTTTGTTCATTTATTGAAACAGGCTCATATTGTAGCCCAAGCTTAACTTAGCCTCTTTAGCAGGTGATGGCGGTGTAGGGGATGGTCGCATGGAGCCCAGGACGGCCTGTAATTCACTCTGTAGCTGATAAAGACCTAGAACCAATCCTCCTGCCTCTACTGCCCAAGTGCTGGAATCACAGGTGTGTCCTACCACACCCATTCTATAGGGTGTTGGAGATTGAACCCTGGACCTAGTGCATGCAGACTAAGAGCCACAGTGCCAGCTCTTGACGTGTTTGGTTTTGATATGGGATCTTTCTTTAGCCCAACCTGCCTTCCTGCTTTCTCCTCCCAAATGCTGCTGTGATAGGCATGCACC